ATGACGTGGTGACGTCGAGCAACTTGATGCTGTGAACGAAAGTTCGTTCGTCGCGGCTAGAGTAAAAAAGTGTAAGTCTACGCGAGTCCCACGACTCCCCAAATCCCGCAAGTACTCTGGACCGGGCTTGATTGCTCGGCGTACTCGCTGGAGTGGTGGGGGGTGGTAGAACTCTGCCCCCACCAGGCGCCCGAGGCCCGAACCTTCGGGCGCCGTACGCTTACGTACGATACATGAATTGCGGTATCTAATCTACGGGCGCCTAGATGCGCTAGTTCTCCGCGATTCCCGGAGAATACCTTCTCCTACTGAAGTGGACGTTCCCGTCCAGGCACTAGGGAGTGCCGGTAGTAAGTAAGAACCGTCGGGTTCTTACACCCATGCCCTCGAATCCCGCGGACGTAGCCTCTTTCCAGTCCTTCAAAGGGGAGAGCGTCTTGAAAAGTACCTCCGGGTCGGCAGGGGGGCATGGCGCATTCGGGATACAGGCGATGTGCGGCATGGACGGGAGGAACCTCTGAGGCCACCGCAAATACTCGTGAAGCCCCCAGAGACCGTCAGCGAACGTTTCGACGACCTTGCGTTCCACCGGAAGTCGCGGGACGTAAGACATGTTCGGGGACGTTATGCAGAAGCTCGAGAGCGTGTCCTGCGCAGCGACCTTGCCTTTGAACCACTGGCCAACTATCGGCGCTATAATAGCGTAAGCAACGTCGCCAGACGCGGGAATATGACATTAGCTTACCATGACCCCGCCTTGTGGCTCGTAGGGCCGGTGGCGGCGCACGCGGCTGAGGCTCAGAAGAGCAAGGATTGGATGCGGGAAGGGTGGAGGTATCGCTGATAGATGTGTGAGCTCGGGCAGAAGAGCAAGTTGCTCAGCGACTTACGGCCCTTTCTGGCCTGCATGACCAGATGACGGAGGAGAGGACGGTAGAGGCGGCGGTGGTACGAGCGGCGGTGGGGGTTGCAATAGTGACTCAGCCGGTTGACTCCCCCTGTTCCGTTTTTGGAACTTAAGGTGGGCGATCTGGCTGCGTTGCATGACACGATGGGCTGGGGCGAAAATGGCCTCCTGCGTATTTGCGAGGGCAGATCTTGCGGGGGATGGTGCGGTTTTGCGGGGTATCTTCAGTCTTGTCTTGCGGATAAAATGGGGTCGCTGGCCAGGTTGCCAGCTTCCGCAAATATGTATATTGCTCCTAGAGCACGACAAGTCCAGCTCTGGAGCTCGCTTGTCGTGACTAGGTGTGCTTGCTGGCGTATCGACAGTGTAGCGGTTGAATTCAACGAGACACTGACAGTAGGTGGTAGACCAGTCCGTGAGACTTCGGACAGCAAGATTGATCGTATCCAGCCGTATCGATGGTTGACCGTCATATTGAAACACCGATTACCCGTGTGACCTTTTTGTTGGTTCGGCTTGATGTGAGAATGTTTAGTTCAGTTGTGTTACGCAATAGTTCAAATCCAAGGAGCCGATCCATATTGGTCCAGGGAGGCATGGCCCAGACCCTCCGGGACCGCAAACTCTAACGGGATGCGTCGATCACAGGCTACGACTCAAGATCTCGGCTGGATCTCTCCACGACCACCACACCATCCTCCGCTCATGCCTCTACTTCAACTACACCACTAACCACTACAAATACCCTGTGCTTAGCTCCATCCCCTGATCCAGCTCAGATATCTTGCGGTCACAAATGCAACTCCCTCTAACATCCGAATCACTGTGGCAATACGTGCACTATCCTCCTGAGAATGCACACGCCATCCATCCATTCCCCCCACTCCACTCCCGCCCTCATGTTTTCCCGCTATGTGGCGGTAGACGACTAAGGGTTGGCTATGCGCCTTATGCAGCTGGTCACGTCCAGAAGCATAGGGTGCGTTTTCCCTTACCTCCTTTCTACACTCCGAGGTCCCAGCCATACCGTCGCCCAATGACAAGTACTGGTTTCACGAGAGAGCGTACGCACTGGCAGCAGGCGTGAGACACAACATATTCGCTTGCTAGTACGTCTGCTCCGCCGACCCTTCCATGCTGATGTGCCCGTAGCGGTTAGCGGACTGGTTCGCACCCTTTCCCGGAAGCCCGTTCCAAACACCTCTGTCGCGTGAAGAGGAGGATCGCTCTCAAAGGATGTAGTATACCTCTATCTATGTGTGTGTATAGGTGTATAGGCGTACCAACTTTAGATAGCTCATGTTCCTGGACTCTCATGTAGTACTGTGGCGTCGCTCCGGGAGGAGCGTGGGAATGCACACTTGTCAGATGCGTGAATACGCGCGCATCCGCGACGGGGCACCCTGTGGCACCCTCTATGTCTTCTCGCGTCAGGCAGAAGGCCAAAAAAGGGCTTTCGCGTATATCTGACCTTCTCAAGGGCAAGGGGAAGCGCGAAACCCCCCAGAAAAACTGTCCTCACGTACCCGCCGCTGCCGCTGCTGAAGGCAACCTCAACAAATGCCCCACTAGCGATGTGTTCCAACCTGTCTGGTCTTCGAATCCCCCGGTCGCTCCAACCTCTCCCATACGCACCGCCGACTTGCTCCGACCCTTGCCGCCGCTGTCCGGAAGCTCGTCCGGACCATCGCACTCGACGACAGGCGGCGGCGCTAGCGCCGCCTGTCGTTGTAAGCTCGGAAACCGGCGGTACGGCGACGTACGGTCACGGTGGAGGACGCGGAAGATGATGAAGAAGAAGTAGATGGCGGAGGAGAAACGGAGCAGGCTGGGTATGGAGCCTACCACCTGGTGCGTGAGCGCGCTCAGCTTGTCATGCCTCATAAGACTAACCGGGGGCACAGCCGTCCACGAAAGGGGAGAAGTTCCTCGACATGCATGCATGTGATGCTCTGGACAGCATGGATGCTCTGGAGGCCCCGCTGGTTCAATTGATTCGTTGCCCCTCCTGCTCCCATAAACTCTGCGACAAACTACCTGGATACCGCACGTTGTTTCGCTGCCAAGACTGTCCTCTGGGCTGTTTCAAGTGTATCGACTGTGTACTATCGAGCCACGGCGAACGTCCTTTTGACCGCATACTCATGTGGGACGCGGCAAAGCAGTATTGGCACCGCATCACCCTTCCTCAAATGGGCTATGTATTCAACCTTGGTCACGGCGGGCGCAAGTGCCCGAATGCATCTTCCGCTCCACGGGACATGGTCATCATTCACGAGCACGGATTGATGGACCTCCCGGTGCTATTCTGTCAATGTGGTTCCGCGCACGCCCCGGCTGCGCAACTCATCGCCTCTGGACTGTGGCCTGCTACCTGGGAGCGTCCTCGTACGGCGACCACACTCAATGCCCTAGAAGCCTACCACAATCTCAGCCATGTCGCCCAGACGAGCATGTACGACTTCATCAATCATCTGAAAGACATGACCGATGATACCACCCCCAGCGACGCCCAGGTATGCCCTCTCGTTCTGTCGTGGGAATTTTCGCACTGAAGCGTCGCAGGATCGATATCGGGAGTTCAAGACGACGATGCGACAGTATACGTACATCCAACAGTGTTGAAGTGCGGGTGTTCGGCCAGCACGCGAATTGCCCCGAAGGAGTTTGATCGTACTATGCCCTGCGTGTCCACAGCCCGGAATCAACATGAGGGAGGGGTGGAAGCAAAGAGACGAAGTGCATAGGTAAGTGTTTCTTTCGAGGCTGGACTTACAGTAGCCACTTCACGCCGTGTAGTTATCTAGATGCGCTCCACTATTCCATTGACGGCAACTTCCACCTCAATATGAAGATGAAAGACACAGACCCTGACGACTTCGCGTACTCAATGGGCGCGGGGTACTTTGTCCACGAACGAGATTTTCAACACTTCCTCCGGACCGTCCCCCCTCCGGTCAATGAAGTGAGCGGTATGTCTCTGTCCAGCGTCGCATGTACTAAGGTCAAGTCAGTCATCGACGTGCAATCAGTTCGGCGCGATGGCCAACGGCAAGTACACCGGGAAGGTAACCGGCGTCATCGGCATATCTTGTCGGCACATGTTCATGTTGCCCGGTGGCGTAGTTGATCTTCATTTTGCTGAATGGTACGTCAACATGTGGCCGAAGCCGCTGTTGCTGACGATGTGGGACGTCCAGGTACCTTTATGTCGACTTCTGTCTGGTGTCGGCTCTCTCGCACTACAGGGAACTAGGGCTGCTGTATGGGACCTATGACATACATTGCCAGTATATCAAGAACCTCCGCACACGTCTGTACGAGGAATTCAACAAGGTCACGCACGAGCTGGAGTCGATCGATTCCGCGGAGCTTCCCATCATCAGGGCGGCGGTCGGCAAGTATCATCTCGCCATGCATACCGGTGACTGTCGACACAAGCACTCCCTCCATTTCATGCCAGGCGCATGCATGACGGATGGGGAGACGTTAGAGCGGATGTGGGCGATCCTCAACGCGCTCGCGAGACGCACGAAGGAGATGTCCGCCGGGCACCGACACGACGTGCTGAACGACACGTACGCGGACATGAACACTCGACGATTGCAGGGGTTAGGTATCGTCGTGTATCCAGACCCGCTGCCACTTCGCGCTGATTTGTGCAGTGTACGAACTGGTAGACAAGCACAACACGGCAGAACAGTTATTTGAAGAAGCCCAGGACTATCTATCGGAGTTAGAGGAAAGCATCGCTCCGGAGAAGGTAGCTCGATGGCGTCAAGAGGAAGCGGAATGGCAGTGTAAGGTCGTGGATGTCAGGCAGCACAAAGGGCTCGACAACCCGTTCGAGCCGCCCGAGCAAACAGGTACGAAGGGTGAATCTAACGCGACCCAGCAACTGACACGGCTCCAGCTTTAACGACACAGGCGATAGCCGAGCACCTAGAGCAGAAGCACGGAGCAGCAGGGGAACGCGAGGCGGTGGGTATGCTTGGAGCAATGGAGGAGGTTTTGCGCCTCAACTCGACGCGGTAGGACGAATCACCACCTCGTGAACAAGGCTACTAACTCAGTTAACAGCGAAGAGCTCCGTCACGACATCCAATCTTCGTCTCGCACGGACAAGGATAGGCGAAAACTCACCACGCAAGTCGAGGTGTTCCGCAAACAGGCAGAGGGTTGTCAAGAGATGCATGCTCGCTACTTGCAACCGTGCATCACCGCCGCGATCCAGAGCATCTCCGCCACAGGTCATCCAAGCACGTTCCCGAGGCGTGACCCCGGCGACGATGTCGCATGCGGCCTCACAGTTGGCCCGCCGGTGGTATCCGGTAAGAAGCTTAAGAGGAAGCGGGCTGAGAACTCGGCCTCTCCCTTTGCCACCCTACTGGCTGACCTAGATGATCCCGCAACCCAGTTCCTTCTGCCCTCCGACTACCACAGCCTCATACGAGGCGCCACCTCTATGACGGAACTCGTCAACTTCGAGCGCGAGCTCAGGCGCGGCCAAGCCAATGAAGCTCTAGACGACCTCCGGCTGCACTTGACGACTTATCTATCCCTCGAAGACCGCAAACGGCAGGTCTCCGGTGTCATCCGGAATACAGCTTGGGACCGACGACTAACGAAGAAGACAGCTGCCATAAACTCTGCGAAACGGCAATACAGGGAGGTCAGGCAGATACTGCGTCTGTTAGGTATGCCCGAGGACGACGAGCACCTCCAGCCTTTAGAAGATAAGGACTGCAAGCCATTCGTGATCGTCGTAGAAGAGCAGCAGCACAACGACAGCAAGCGAAAACCTACCTGGATATGGGGTAACTTTGGGTATATCAACCAGATAGAACCGGGGGAAATCAAGAACTTTCTCGAAGATTGTACGTCTCTTACGTCTTCGAGAGCGATTACACACTGACGCTAGCCCCGTACAGGTGCCCGGGTACACTGGTTCCGACAGAGCGCGCGTAAACAACGATGGGAAGAAGAGTGCTATGTGCGCAGAGAGGAGATGTTCCGTACCAGGAAGACGTACCAGCACTATCGTCAGGTATGGAGAAAACGAGCTGTGGGGCATGCGATCCGTGGCAAGGGCGCCGCCGCCTATGCGCGCAGGTACACCGCTCACTTGGGGCAACGATGGTCATTTGTCTGATAGTATTCAAAGGCAGGCAGCTCAGTGGGAACGCAGACTCGACGCCGCGCATCGACACTTCCCCGCAATCATCGACGTGGTTAGTCCGTTATCCCACGACGCGCTACTATCATGCTAACATGAGAGTAGCCTGTTGGGATTCCTCGAGTGGCGGGAAGCCTGACGGATAATGCCCCTCCTCGCAACGCGTCGTGTTAGGGACAGGAGTTGTGTATGTCGTCACGCTCAGGCGTGTCCACTCGCACGTTACGCGTATGCTACCGATGGACCGAATACATAGATGAGATTGCGAATATGGTACGGTGCTGGCTGGCATAAGCTACCTCGCGCGATCGTGACAATACAGCACATAGAGCCTCGAATATCGTTCTGCCTCCATCCGGTCGCAACGACGGAGGAAATGAGTTGTATTGCTCAATATCTAGTATATGTACGCTTCACCCCTCGTACAGTCCTTCGGCCGCTTTCATCTCCGCCACTCCTACCGCGACCGGTTTCGCCACAACGAGCCGTCGATATGCTTCGCCCATGAAGACGAGCGTCCGCTGTACCACACCCGCGAGCACGTCTTGACCGCTACGCCCCACTACGCGGCTGCCCGTACGAACCAGCCTCCGCCTCGGTACACCACCAGCACTGCTAAGGCCGCCGCCTCCACGGTGACCGCGCTCGCGCCCGATATACTGTGACCAAGTACGCGACCACGACCGTCGCCTCCGAAACGCCAGCGAGGCGCGCCAGCCGCACACGACGATGACGGCCACGACAACGCCTGGGATAGTGACGCGACCGCGACATCCGCGTACGAGCTGCGCGTGTGCGACGGAGATCGACACGACGTACCTATTATCCAGGCCCGCGACCGTGACCGCCGACGCGATGAATAACCCCTATCCGAAGCCTGCAAAATCCCTTCTTGGAACGCGACGCGAGGAGAACTGCTCTTCACGCAGTTATTGCGCCACGCGAGCCCGTGGTGGCCGGCGCAAAGGATGCGGGAGTGGGGGCCGTCTTCCTGAGGTTTGTTCGCCACGCGCGAGTGAAACACCAGGCAAGATACCTCAGAGGTGCCAGAAAGATAGAGTCTACGAGAGAGTTTCCGACGAGCCAGAGGAGAGCACACGAGAGAGGGAGTAGTGGCGGCAGAAGAGCAATCCGAGCGCTCAGCCCTCTCAGCCCTCAGCAATGCCATGGGTACCGGCGCTTATGAGGGGTAGTGCTTGGTCTCCTCCACGTCATTACCCACTGTCTTCAACATTCATCCTTGTATCTTGCGCTGCATCCCTTTCGGAAATGGCAGCCGCCGCCGCTCCCGACGTTCCGTACGTGCAATGCCCGCCAGCCTATTTTCATCACTCTCTTCCCTACTGATTCCTGACCTAGAGAGTTTCACACGCATGGTGGCGAATACGTGCAACTGCCCGGTGAGGCAGACTTCGGGCCCGCCGAGTACCTAACTTGTAAGTGATGTGGTATGGTTTCATCTGTCTGCCACACATCAACATGCCATAGGGTATATCGAGAGCCTGCTGGGCCGCATTGCCTATCTGCAAAGCGAGCTGGCTCGCCGCGAGGAACGGGAGGAGAAGCTACAAGAGCTTCTTCACGCGTCGGAACTCATCAACGAGGAGTACAAGATGCTTTATCTGCGTGCGCGCCAGTTGGCCCTGCATGCCGTGAACGAGGCGGATGTTGCGCGGCACGGTTGTGTATGTTTGGGGGGCGCGCACGGGCCACTGGAGATATGATATCGAGCACTGTCTGTATGTCTGATGTCCGGTCGTGCTGTGAAGAACGTTTGGCTGTGGAATCTATTGTATCTGATGGCCGGTACATTTGGCGTAACCTACGCCTTCGTAACAAGGGATCTGAGAGTCAAGTGAGGAATCACAAGACTCAATCCCGGTAGCACCAACATCAACGCTCATGCTGTCATGTAACCGCCTCTCCTTTGGGGACGGCCGGTCGCGGAAGCTTCGTGCTATCACAGGGATATTGTATCCTGCGGATTTTGCCCGCGGACGGGAAGAACTATCCATGACAGGCCGGGACTGCGCGCGACCTGCATCTCGTCAATGAGAAACGACAAGAGAGTCCATGTTTCCTTTGCATTGTATTGCGATTCGGGTGTATGTGTCTACGTGGGCGGAAACTAAGTTAGCACCGGCCTACTACGGTACACCACAATCAACGCCTGGGGGAACGATTGTTGTATACGCTGAAAAGCTCGTGGAAACTGAGGTAACTTAGCTGATGAAACCTGGTACGAACGTCCGACGAGTGCGGACGGCGGACATGTGCGCGAGATGGGGCCATCGACGAGCGTGTCTATACAAGTGTATCGTATACATAGGGTAACTACGCGTCCAAGGTTACGGCTGGAGGAATGGGAGGAATAGGTAGCCTCTTGTAGACTTGCACGAACGTATTTACATAGAACCTGACTGCCTCGTCGCACACCGCAGCGTACCGTACCTGATCCCACTCAGGGGCGTTCATGGCAGTCCCGAGCAGAGAATGAGGAAATGTGGGCCAATGTTCCATAACTTTGACGAAAGCAGCCAAAGAGTCGCAGCAAGCGCGCCAGCCAGAGTCCGCCGCTGACATCCATCGATGGGACTCCCCTACCAAATGGTCTTCCGGCAATACACTGAGGACTGAAGCGTTACTGCTCCAAACTGCCGACACTGCCGCTTCCCTATTCCAACGATGGATCTCCTGCCAATCCTTCCGCTGCACGAGGTACGTATCCAAAGCCATCATCTCGCAGCGAAAGTTGATCTCGTGGGACTCCCAAAGAACCCACCGCCGGACATCGCTGGCTTCGATGAGGTCCTTCGCTGCAAATTCTTTCCCAAGGAAGGACGCCTTCCTGTCCTCGCGGTAGGACGGAAGAAGGGCTACTCGCCCAAACAACCGGCAGATCGCATTCCGCTCCTCGCGACGGCGCTTTGCCCGTCGGACATCTGCTGCGCTGCTCCCTGTGATTTCGGCGTCTTTCTCACTAAATTCACCCCAAAGAGCCGCTCGCCATTCGGCAACCGTCAGGGGTACGCTTGACATGGATGGGTCGAACAGGCGCGTACGGCAGAAGCGTCGAATGCGGAGGTGGTTGTGCAGGTATCTCAATATCTTGTCGTCGTTTCGTGCAGCGGTAGGGCAGACACATTCCGATGGCATGGGTAGCTGCGAAGAGACGGTGTCGAGAAGGAAGGGTGGGGGGAAGAAGTACAGTGCAGACGCCTCAAGACGAGGAACAGGCGACACGTCCTGCAACGCACGAGCCCACGAGTCGGGAACGTGATAGAAGGGCAACGGGATAAAGGACTTGGATGGCTGAGGAAGAGACACTGCGAGCGCGTCAGCCGCCGCGCCGCTGTCGGCAGCCACCTGGCGCCTGCGGTCCCGACGATTCTTCTTACGCTTCTGGCCTTGTTGGCCGCTTCCAACCGCCGGCCGCATATCGAGGTGCTTCGAATGCACGTCGGAGCCGTCCAGGCGGGCCCTCTTGCCTTCCGAACGTTGCTCCGCGATGGACATGACGGCCGGTGTGTCTGTCGTCTGCAAGT